CTTCATCTTCCTCTTAACTCCCCCATCACATGTTCTACCCTCTGCCTGCTTGCCTCCTCCACCCACTACACACACGTGCTTTAAATATAAACTAAGACCTGAAACAAACAAAGACACTTCTACCGAACTGGCCTCTCCCAGCTCTCCAGCTCCGTCCCTCACTGCTCTCCTCGGCAGTGCAGCTCAGTCACATAATCACCAGATCCTTCACTATGCCATACTCCACCTCAGGGCCATGGTGCCTATTCTACTCTCTGATCAAGTTACTCTCTACTTCTTCAAGCAGCTACTTAGTGTGTAACTCATCTCTTCAGAAGCAGCACGACATTGCTCACTGGCTCAGGGTTACATTTCCCAAGTGAGGCCTGCCATCTGCTGCCAGAGGTCTCCTGCACCACACTCATTACACAGTTGACCTTGTCTCCTTGCAGGAAAATCTCTGTAGTCCCTGCAGTGCCCCCTCTAGTACTTTCTCCACTGTAGGATCTTCAATGCATCAGGCTGGCACAATAAATGCGTAAGAAACATTTTCAATGAAAGTTTGAACCGTGCGGCTGGAGAGAAAGCTCAGAATTTATAGTATGTGTTCTTCCAGAAGATCCAGTCCCAGCACTACATGGTGGCTCACAATCATTCAGAACTCTGGCTCTAATGGATCCAGTGTGCTCTTCTGACCTTCAAAGGTACCATGCACATACATGGTGCATACATGCCTAAAAATTCATACATTAAATAAATAAATCTTGTAAGATGAAGGGCTGGCTTGTTGGGGTTTTCTGTCCTGCCCAGTTCCCACAGCTGTTTAGCCCCAAAGAAAATCACACAGAGGTCTCTATAAGTTATAAAGCTGATTGGCCCATTAGGTCAGGCTTCTTATTAGCTCTTGTAACTTATATTAACCCATTATTCTGATCTATGTTAGCCATGTGGCTCAGTACCTTTTCCAGTGGGGCAGATCACATCCTGCTGCTTCGGTGATCTGGGCAGGAGTGGGAGGAACCAACTTCCTCCTTCCCAGAATTCTCCTGTTCTCATTGCATCATTTCTACTTTCTGTCTGGTTTTCCCACCTATACTTCCTGCCTGGCCAATCAGCATTTATTTGAAACATGATTGACAGAATACAGACAATTCTCCCGCACCAAAATCTAAAAATAATTTTTAAAAAATTTAAAGCTTGAATGGCAGGAGAAGGGCTCAGGGCAGGATAAACCTCCCAGTGACCAGGTGAAACTTATGCTGCTGCCAAGTAAGGCATGTATCACTCCCCAGCAGTTCTGAAGACCTATGATCCTTGTCACAGGAAGAGCCAAGTAAGAAATTATGAACAAATTAACATTCTCTTTGCAAATGCTTTTAGAAAGTAACAAAGGCCTATGGCCTCTATGGTGGGTTTACTGGTACCTTTCTATAAGCATAATTTGACAATAAAAATACATCTTTTTTTTTTTAAAAGACAGTCTTCATATGTAGTGGTGACTGGCCTAGAACTCACTATGTAGAACAAGCTATCCTCAAACTCACAAAGATACTTGCTTCTGCTTCCCAAAACTGGGGTTAGAGGCATACATCTCCACGCCCAGAAAGAGAACAAATACATCCTTACTGACCACACAGACTTTTTCTCTGTTTTGTACCTGCTTTTCACGAACTGTCTCAGTTCCTGGAGCTTCCATTTGTCATATTTTTCAAACCTTTTGAAGTGTTCTTCTGCATGGAACTTCTCAGAAGGTGAGTTATAAGCAAACACTAGCCCACACTGGGCACCGATGCCACCACGGCGAACCTAGAAACAGAGGCAAAAATTCTGTGGCTATTTTATCTCCAGCTGAAATGGTTAAATTCCAATAGCTTACAGCACAGTAAAGCCACTGAAGCAGTATTCAAACATATTATGTCCTGGAAGGTAAGAGAGCTATCCTATAAAATGTTAGCATGGCTTCCTCCATCCTTACAGTCACACCATTCAAATATAACTCGATCCAAATTTGTCCACCCGCCCTCTGCTAGAGGATGGAGAAAGAGGAAAATATTCATCGCACACCCAATGAAAGGCAATGCCCCCTGGAAACATAACCCAAATCACTTTTTTCCTCCCCAAGACAGGGTTTCTGTGTTTTGCCCTAGTTGTCTCAGAACTCACTCTGTAGATAAGGTTGGCTTTGAATTCAGAGACCTACCTGCCTCTACCTCCTGAGTGCTGAGATTAGAGGAGTGTACCACTACTGTCCAACTCAATTCACTTAAAATTTCTTCTTATTTTATGTATGTGGGCATTTTGCCTGCATATATGTCTTTGCACCACAGTCATGCTTGATACCACATGGTGAGTTACCATGTGGGTGCTGGGAATGGAACACAGGTCTTCTAGAAGAGCACCTAGGGCTCTTAACTGCTAAGCTATCTCCCCAGACCCTAATTCACTTTTAAAAAGCAGTACCACTACTTAAAGATGGTAGAAGGAAAATTACCATAATTCTGATCTGTGTGACTTGGAAGGCAGACTCAGTTCCTGCAGAAAAAATAGTACTTGCTCTGGTTTTTCCAGTCTCTGTAAGAAAACCTAAGAAAAAGGGGAAAAAGTTAGAATGTCTGAGTCATTTTTATAGTCCTAATATCAAGAATCAACCAAAACAAGGGTAACTGGCCTATCTGTACCTTTGTGACAATTAGAAAAACAATACCTCTTTGGGCAGATATGGCTCCTTCCCCAACACCTTTATCCCCTGCAAAAAGCCCTAGGCAATAAGAACACTAGCTAATCCCCCCCCACACACACACAGTACTATCCCCTCAAATCATGATTTTAAATCAAAGAAACAGAAAACTGCAGGATCAGTCTCCTTCCTGAATCGCCCCTAAAGCCATGACTAATGTTTCACTGGGCTGACAAAAGACAAGTAGGTTTCAGCAGCAGGAGAAAAAGATTAGCCAGCTTCTAAAACATTCTGTCAGAAAAGATTATGAAAGACAATGAAACGGGAAGGGGATTACTGGGTATCTGGTCTAACACATTCTGAGTTATCACCAGCTTTTCCTGTCTCTAAGCTGTTTTACAATCTGTAAGCTGAATATTGAGGGGATGTAAGTGATTTTTGTACAAAGAAATAAAAATTAAAAAAAGAAATAAAAATTCTATAGAAATGTAGCTGATTATTAATTGTAAGCAAATTCCAACATTCCTTTCTATTAGTCTTTGTATGTTTTTATGAATTTTCCTTTTTACTATTGATAATAGCTTATTAATTTCTTACTTCATTAAAAAGTCTGACGTATTCATTTACAGTTGTATGAAAGTCATATACCTTTTTTGGTTGCCTTTTTGTCTCTCAACTCACACAAAGATCTGCTGCTAGACACAACATGAAGCTGTGTAATGCAAGGACATGCTCAAGTCAGTGCTACATGAACATTCCTCTGACCTAGGACCCTAACCTGCTTTCAGCCATCCTCCCGTAAAGTCAAAACACTGAAATGAAGTTCATGTTCTCTCTCTCTTTTTGTTTTTTGTTTTTTGAGACAGGGTTTCTTTGCATAACAACTTTGACATCCTGGAACTCACTCTATAGACCAGGCTGGCTTTGAACTCACAGAGATCAGCCTGCCTCTGCCTTCCAAGTGCTGGAATTAAAGTTGTGTGCCACCATCACCCAAAGTCCATGTTCTTACTTCGTACCTGAGTTTAGCAATACAAACATTCATAGACTGGGTTTCCAAAAGACAATGTGAAAAATGTATCACCAAGACCAAGAAAATGAACCCAAAGGAGCCTTTACTAATTCATCACATGACCTATTTTATTATTGCTGAGAAGTAGTACAATGGCAAAAAAAAATCATAAAACTACAACTGATATCATCAAATAGCAATTCTGTCTACAATTTTAAGAAAACATAATGCCAGAAATACACACAATTTTAAGAGCAATACACCCAGACAATCCTAATTGTTCCCAGAGTTCTGGATGAACTTATGGGAATTTATTGTATAAAGACATTTGTTTACTGGTTTTTAGAATCAGGATTTCTCTGTGTAGCCCTGGCTGTCCTGGATTTCGTTCTGTAGACCAGGCTGGCCTTGAACTCAGAGATCTGTCTGCCTCTGCCTCCCACATGCTGGGATTAAAGGTGTTCACCATCATGCCCTGCTGATTTATTTTTTTTCCTTCCTTCCTTCCTTCCTTCCTTCCTTCCTTCCTTCCTTCCTTCCTTCCTTCCCTTCCTTCCTTCCTCCTGACAGAGTCTCACTATGTAGCCTAGTAGGCCTGGAACTCATTATGTAAACCAGACTGGCCATAAACTCACAAATATCTGTCAGTCTCTGCTTCCCACTACTGGGTGGGATTAAAGGTGTGCCACCACACTAGGCCAAAATAAATACTTTTAAAGATTTTAATTATTAGTTCATTTAATTGTATGTGTTTGTGTGTGTGTCTGAATGTATACATGAGTACTATACAAAAGTGCTCACAGAGGCCAGAAGAGGGCATCAGATTCCCTAGACCTGGAGTTTCAGGTGATCTAAGACTACCTGATATGAGTGCTGAGAACTGAACCCAGGTCCTCTGCAAGAGCAGAAAGTGCTCTTAACTGCAAAACCACCTCTCCATCCCCAAAATAATTTATTTTTTTAAAAGAAGGAATATTTTGTAAAGGCTGAAATAGATTGTTCTGTAACATATACATGCCTGCTGTGGCACATGTACACCTGCATTCACACACTCATACTCACATATATAAGCATATATACTTTAAAAAATAACTCTGTGTTTCCGTGTCTTGTCATTTAGCTTTTTTTTTTAGACAAGCTATCACTATATACTATATAGCCAATGCTGGCCTTGAACATCTGATATTTCTACCTCACACTGCTGAATGCTAAGATTATAGGTGTGCACCACCATGCCCAGTCAGTTGTTCCCTACCTGCCAATAAGAGAAGTAAAAACTTAACCAGTCACGGAGTTAAAGAATTTAATGCATTTGTCCCTCCAGCTCCAATTAGCCAGCCATCCTTTAAAGACCCAAGCATTAGTGGCAATAACTTCCATTCAGAAGTTAAGGAACATCAGCTGTCTCAAATGTTAAGATTCCTTCCCTGAGCCTTCTTTGGGTTCCCAAAACTGAAACATCCTAGACAGAGAAACTAGAAGTATGCCAATCAGAGAGTTTTACTGTTCTAAGGGAAAGAGAAAACGGTGTTCCCCTTGCACTGGTTCTTCAGGCTCAAGTTTCCAGACAGTCAGAGCTGTGTGAGGAGTGTCTAGAGAAGGTGAGGGCTTCTGTCCACACTCCATACCCTAAGTCACACAAAAACAGAAAATCTACCTGCCATAGTCCAATCTAAAAATTCACCCATCCAAGGTAAAGAAAGTAGGAAGGGGAGGTGGCTGGCGAAGGATCCAGAGAGAATAAGGAAGTATTCAAATCAGGCAAGGGACAAGGCAAGCAAAAGTATCTTTCAGGTAAGAGATGTCTATGTATGTAGATCTTCAGACTGAACAGTGGTAAAAACCCACATTGTAAAGCAGAGGGAATACTGTAAAGCATACGGAGGGATACTTTACAGCAGTTTGGGGAGTACTGTACAGTAGGTGGGGGGATAATGTAAAGGCAGGCAGTGAGTAGAATACTGTAATAAGGCAGAGAATACACCTGTAGTCCCAGCAATCACAGGAGTCCAAGACAGATGTCCAGGACAGGAGGATCGTGAGTTTGAGGTCAACCTGGGCGATACAGCAAGATCCTCTCTCAAAACAAAACTACACCAAAAAGTCCAAATTCTGATGCCAGAAAATGCTAGTTCCACACATAACAGAAACAAAAATTAAGATTCTTTAGAGTAGAGGAAAAATGCAGGGGACCTTTTGCAAAGTCATTTTGACTTTGATGAGTGAAGGGATGATAAAAGGGCAAAAAGCTGCCACCACCTCCTTCCAAGATCCTACCATACCTCCATCTTTCGGTGGCAGGCAAGCTAATGGCCTGCTGTGACTTTCAGTGAGGAAGACATATGGATGCAGTGAAGGAAAGCTCGTTGTGGAGGCTAAGGGGCTCAGGAGTGTAAGGAACCATCTTGTGTAAAATCTATTGCTTAAAAGTCACCAAGGACTGGAGTACAACTGGGAGCCTCAATGGTGCCGAGAATGAACACAGGAAACAGGATGCGGAAGAGACAATGCTGGAGAAATGAAAGCCTGCAGGCTCCGAGGAAAGCTACAGCAAGACTAAATCTACAGCAGGAAGGCCAGGTCAGTGTTTACAGCAGCTAGGACATCCCACTTTACTGAATCAACAATATTCAAAGCAGTATAGTGAATAGAAAAGAGACATGTGCAAGCACGGACCAAGGCTACTGGGGGGGGGCTCATGAACACGTGTTGGGGAAAGAGCCTACAGCAGAATGAAGCACACACAAACATACATTTGTGCTAGTAATGAAAAGGTTGCCTTCAACACATCAAATTCCAGAGCAGCTGTAATGTTCTTAGAGATGCTCTCTGATATTTGGGGCTAAGGACCCACTGCCTTTCTCAATACTTTAAACCAACTCAACAGAAAGTTCATTTAAACTTAAAAACAACTAAATGTGGTAGTGCACGCCTTTAATACCAGCACCCGGAGGCAGAAGCAGGCAAATCTCTGAATTGGAGCCCAGCCTGATCTAGAGTGAGTTCCAGGGCAGCCAAGGCTACACACACACACACACACACACACACACACACACACACACACACACACCCTGTCTTGGAAAAAAAAATGCAGTCACTTTTTCTATTCCAAGAAGAGGAGTTCTTCCTTTTTAAAACTTCAATTTTGAACAGCCCCAGGCTGTCAAATACTTAATGCTGTTACAGGTCATTACCCATCTAGACAACAGCTAAACCAAAGTGTACAGAAGTCACTGCTGCCAACCTGAGGTGAAGACTAACATCCTTGATGACCCATGCCTGTAATCCCAGTACTGAGGAAGCTAAAGCAAAAGGACTGTCTTGAGTTAAAGACTAGCCTGGGCTACACAATGAGACCCTGTCTCAAAGCAACAACAAAATCCACTGACATCTAGGGGCTGAAGAAATGGTTTTGTAATTACCAGCATTTGCTGTTCTTACAGAGGACTTAGATTCAGTTCCCAGTTCTTATGTTGGCTCACAACCATTCCAGGAGATATGATGCCCTCAAACTTGCCTCCTAGGACACTAGGCACACATATCATGCACATACATACACACAAATATACACATTTAAAAATTTTATTTTCACACACACACCCAAAACACCAACATCTGAAAATTTTCAAGGCCAGAGTGTGAGTTCACATACCTACCTCCTTGCATACTAGCAACAGACCATCTAGCACTTACCATCTCTTGTCCATGGCTCCATGAGGAGGTTTTCAGGTCCTGACTTATCTTCTTTCCCTTTGACATCACAAGCCTGAAGAGTCAACTGGAGAGGTTTACCTGACCAAAGAAAAGATAGGGCAATTTTTAAGCTAGGTCCACAAAAAGATGAAATTGACAGCAATATAGAGCCTATGCCAACCCAGACTGCTAAAGCTTACCTGTATAAAAGGCAAAATAGAGGCCAGCAAGATGCTGCCAAATCTGATGACCCAAGTTTGCAACTCAGGATCCACACAATGCAAGAAAGAAAGAACTGACTCCTCCAATTTGTTTCTGACTTTCACATGGTGCATGCATGCCTGCACGCACATCGGTTACACATATAAATGTAATTTTTAAAAAATTGGGGGAGGAAGTGCTGGGAGATGGCTCAGCAGTTAAGAGTACATGCTGTTCTTCCAAGAGAACCTGAGCTCAGTTCCCAGCACCCCCATCAAATGGCTCACAACTCATAACTAAGCTCTGGAGATCTGATACCTTTTTTTTTTTTTTGACCCTAAGGGTGTCTGCGCTCATGTGACCATACCCAAACAAAGACATACTACACTCACATAATTAAAGAGTAATAAAAATAAATCTTAAAATATTTTAAATAGATGAATAAAGGTCAAATAAGATGGTAATAGTAGACAAAAGTCGATACTATCACTATGTGCTTTCCTGAAAGAGAAAAGGCATAGCCTGTTTCTGAGTTAGTTTAAGGAGCAGTCTAGAAAAACCACTTTTCAGAAACAAAGTACATTACAATACAGACATGATTACTATATATTAAACATGTGGAAGGATTCCTAAGATTTTGTTTGAAGTAAAAAATCCGTTTTATTGGATCTGTATTTAAATACATAATGTTTTAGATCTTCTTTCTTTAAATTATCTACAGGAGGGTGGTGAGATGGCTCAATGAGTGCAAACCTAAAGAGCTGGAGTCAATCCCTGGATCTAACAGAGGAAGGAAAGAACTGACTCCCCGAAGCTGTCCTCAGACCTCCATACAGGCACTATAGCATATGTGAACATCCCCATGTCATACAACAATAACAAATATAAATAAATAAATCCAGGAAAAATCTGAAAGTTTGAATAAAATAATCAAATTTTGCTACAATGAGCTAAAAAAATTATTGTTTTATAATAATATAACAAGTTGGATGTGGTGGCACACACCTTTACTCTCAGGATGCAGGAGGCAGAGGCAGAGGCAGGTGAGTTTGAGGCCAACCTGGTCTACAGATTAAGTTCTAGGCCAGCCAAAGCTATATAGTGAGACCCTGTCTCTAAATCAAGAAGTAAATAAATAGCAAATACCCACTAACCTCTAGAATAGCCAGAACTAATCACTGTTAGTTATGTGAAGTCCCTTCCATACTCTTCCTCTCTCCTCTGCTCCCTGTCCCAATGACCCCAATAAGAATGGTTAATATTTCTTAAAAACACTTCAGCTTCTAGATGTCACCTCAACTTCCCACCCAGCCATGCCTGTTCCTGGCTCATGGTTTCTCCAGAGACTTTGCTAGTGTAGAGAGAAACTGGATTGATAAGATAATTGTCTTGACTTTGAAAGTTAAACATAAAATAAATCACAAAGTTGTATTATGTTGTACAAACACCATGGTGGGAATATCCCAGAAATGTCTATAATACTGAAGAGGATAAGCTCAATCACTGAACTTAGTAGAAGAAAAATTTCCAACTAAAGGTAAACATGTTGTTCCTCACAGCCAGGTTGCAATCACTGTGAACAGTTTTATGGGCACTGGGTTGAGATGTACTAGGTTCTCATGTTAGGTCATCAACAAAGTGCTGAGATGGACCCAGGCAGGAAAAGCAATGGCAGGCAGACACTGTTCCTGAGCAGCTATGTTGTAGAGGCAATGATCCCCCTGCTCCAGATCTCAGTGAGCTCCCTCCCTCCAAATGAGAAATACTCTAACTTCCCAAGTCTCTCTACCAACACAATGACACACACCTATACTTCACCAAAGATGGCTGTGCTCAAAATGGCTACCACACCCAAGTCATTGTACTAGAAAATCCAGGAACCATCAGGGGACACATGGATGTCTTCTGCCAATCTGCCATAAATGACCCATAGATATCTTCCTTCTACCAGTTCTAGAGAAAAGCTAGTTATCAGAAGATGTGCTCATCCAGGGATCAGGATGCCATATTACAACCCAGTCTACTCACTATCCAGAAAGACCAGTAGAGGCCAAAGGGCGCCTGGAAAGGGTAGCGTTATTATTTTCCACTGCCAGCATTTCCATCATGCCCAGGTCATTTACCATATTTCAGAAGCAGGTTCTGCCTGACAGATGTCATGGATGAGATGAGAGATGAGGCATCATAGCGTGTGTCCAAGTGGTCAGTGATGGTACACAGAGAGCTCATCACTTTGGCAATACTTCCTCTTGCTAGTGCAAAAGCCAGAAGAGTCAATTCTACCTCTGGAGTAGAACAGCAGCTACAAAGAACAAGCAAAAAACTTTTCACTTCCTAAAATACAAGAAAACCAGACAACTCAAACCTATACAATCAATCCCTATAAGTAAAATTAACCTGTCATGTGCTCCCTAGATGTTTACCAGAAATTCGGTTTCAAAATCCTTAAGATAACCCGAGGAAAAACGGAATCAACTCAAGGGTCAGAAAATTGAAACTTTAATAATACAAAACAATTTATTAAACCAAAGATAAATGAACTACCGCAGCCAGTCTCCACCAGGAATCCTTGGGAATGAGCTGGGTTGGGCACAGAGCTAAGGGTGCATAACTTAGGAAGCATGAAAACTACTAGATCCACCCCTTATACCTCTGTGCCTTTCCAAACCCACCAGAATGAAAGCGGAAAGCTATCTGTGTACCTCAGGGGATAGTTAATGTCCTGAGGGCTTGCTGTGGGCAGCCAAATGTCTTCACACCAAGTGTTCCATTCTATAAAGTTAAGTAAGCAACTTTTCCAGTTCTATAGGCAACTAATTAGACTTGTTAGTCTGTATGTAAGTAAGCTAACTGAAGACCACAGGCTAGAAGAAGGATGAATTAAGAGGCCTGCAATCTTAGCCTTGGATATATCTCTTCTAAACAAATCAGAGGCCCATTTCCTCTGTATCCCAATTCTTAAGGTCAAGAGATATTAGAGGTTACCAGGGTTAATTGAATTAGGACGGATTATTTCACTTTCTCTTTGGTTACTAAAAATGAATCATTTTTAGTGGAAACATTCTTCTAGATTTTTCTTAAGAACTGAATGAGAATATATGCCCTCCACCCCACACAAATTGTTCACCTCAGCATCCTTGATTTTACCTAGTTATCCTTACGAGGAAGCTGTCCACTTCTTCCAGAACATTGGGAGACAGGAAAGTTGAGAAGTCTGTAGATCCTGGTGAGAGGGACAGTGGTGGCATGTGCTGCAGTGCCTTTCTAGGGAAGTAACATGTGCAATCAGAGCAAGGCCAGACATGACATTAGACAACAGTGCACCATCATATCTTATGCTGAAGAATCTTTTGAGCTAGTAAAGAGTATTCCTGTGGAGAGCCTTGTGCGCAATATAAATATTGTTTCCCTAGGAGTAAAATACTAAACAATTTAGTAGGGTTTCTGTTAGGGAACATTATTTTAAGATATGTTGCTTTTTTTAATGCTGCATTTGTTTAACTCTGTGAAGCTGTGATTCTTTGCCTATCTAAAACACCTGATGATCCTAATAAAGCACTGAATGGCCAATAACGAGGCAGGAGCAAGGATAGGCAGAGCTGGAGGATGTCAGGGGCCAGCCACCCAGCCAGCCATGGAGTAAGAAGGAACATTAAGGTATAAATAAATAGAGAAAGAATAAAGTCCAGAAGCAAAAGGTAGATGGGTTAAAACAAGAAAAGCTGGCTAAGCCGGGCAGTGGTGGCGCACGCCTTTAATCCCAACACTTGAGAGGCAGAGGTAGGCAGATCTTTGTGAGTTCGAGGCCAGCCTGGTCTACAAGAGCTAGTTCCGAGGCTAGAGAGATGGCTCAGCAGTTAAGAGTACTGGCTGCCCTTCCAGAGTACCCGGGTTCAAGTTCCAGCACCCACATGGCAGCACATAACCATATGTAACTCCAGTTCCAGGGAGATTCAACACCCTTACACAGACATACATGTAGGCAAAACACCAAAGTACATAAAATAAAAATAAATATTTTTTTTTTTTAAAAAAAGAGCTAGTTCCAGGACAGGCTCCAAAGTTACAGAGAAACCTCATCTCAAAAAAAAAAAAGGGGGGGGGGCTGGCTAGAACCAAGCCAAGCTAAGGCCAGGCATTTATAATTAAGAATAAGCTCTGTGTGTGAAATTTATTTGTGAGTTGGGTGGTGGCCCCAAAAGAATAAAATGTCGCACATGTTTCACTTTTTTTCCTTTTCTGGACGAGTTCACTGTGTAAAGACTTCCTTGGCTACCTGGAACTCAGGTTAAGAGGTAAGTATAAAAGACACAGACTCATGAAAACTGTCCCCAAGACAGTGCTGTGTGGATTTAATACAAAGTTTGTTTTGTACCAGAACCTTAGGATCTATGGCATCTAAAGAGGTGCCACAAATTTTGTTGATTCCTGGGGAGATCAGCACCATCACATTTTCTGTGCCTGTTGTGGTCTTTTGGCCTTTTCACCTTAATGTTTGTTTTAAATTTACTTAACAGGTGATTACTGGATGCTAAACGTGAACTGAGTACATGATTGTACCATGAAACACTTGAAGGTATGCCAGGAATGCATGAAAACATCATAAGCCAAGCATGGTGGCTCACACCAGAAATACATATATAAAGTGTGTGTATATACACACACACATAGGCTTACACACACATATATAGAAATATATGTAAAGCAGGAGGATCACAAGTTTGAGGTCAGCTTGTTTTACATGAGAGAAACAGAGAGAGATTGAAATCTGTGTGTGTGTCTTTGCACACAAAAGAACAATGCCTGAGAAGAACAGAAGAGGGTGTCAGATGCCCTGGAGTTGAAGTTACAGGTGGTTGTGAGCATTTGGATAGGGGTTCTGGGAACTGATCTAAAGTCTTCTGTAGGAGCAGCAAGTATTCTCAAATACTAAGCCATCTCTCTAGTCCATTATTATTTATTTATTTAGGGTAGGGGTTTTTGTTTGTTTGGTTGGTTGGTTTTTTGTAGTCCTAAGGATTGAACCTAGGGTCTCTTACATGCTAGGCAAAGTATCAGCCCTTTATTTTATTTTTCTTGAGACATGATCTTGCTATGTAGCCCAGGCTCAGCTTAAACTCACAACATAGCCCAGGCTGATATCCAGCTCATGGCAATCCTCTTGCCCCAGTCTCACAAGTGTTGGAATTATAGATGTTTGTCACCATGCTTGACAATTTCTACACTTGAAAATACAAACAATACAGCAACCTAACACTATGTCAGTTTCCTCTCTACTCTGGTTTTCCCTGCCTGCCTGCCCGCCTGCCTGCCAGTCATTTGGGGCTGTTCTGGCAACTATGCTCAAATGCAGGTGTCAATAAAGGCAAAATCACATAGTGTGGTATTCATTTTCTCTCATGTAAGTAAACATTTACTCTGCCCCAAATATATTTTTGGTTATTTCCCCTCAAGGCACATTTTTTATTTTGTAATGCTTTTTAGATAACTGAACTTTAAAAGTCAGGGGAAGTGAAAGTACTATTGCATACATACTAAGAAAATGGAGCAAAAACATTCTGCCACAAATTGGTACATCAACAAAATAACAAGCAAATAAACCCCAATAAGGGGTTGTGGTGTGGTGGCCCACAACTTTAATTCCAGCACTCAGGAGGCGAGGCAGGCAGGTCCCTATGAGTTCAATGCCAGCCTGGTCTACATAGTGAGTTCCAAGACAGTCAAGGCCATGTAGAGAGACCCTTTCTCAGAACAAACAACAAAAACTAAGATAGACGTTCTTTCTCTCCTTCTGCAAACGCCTCTCACACAGAGGCGCTGTGGCTGGCCTATACTTGGGTATGGAGCCTGAATAGAGGGAGAGACAGGTACCTGCACAAAGGGACAGACCAGGAATAACGGTGCCAACCAGAATGAGGAGGGTGTCATGACACAGGATATGGGAGCTCAGGGGACAAAAAGGCACCGGGATGCTCACATCAGTGGCTCTATTAATGACAATGGAACAGGAAGGATATGTGGAGGTTGTCTACAAGGGCAGGGACAAGGAACCCTGATGGCATAGAGGAATACTAAGAAAATAAGTTAAGGCATGAAAAACACCAGGAGATACTTCTTACCATCTGAGAAGGAAACGACAGATCTAGAAACAGAGAAAACAAGAATGGATCTCATGGTACTGAACTGAGGTGGAAATACTCATGTAATGTTGGTTCTTAGTATCAGAGATACAAAAATATAGGTGTGAATATACATATGTATCTATATTTACTTTGATGTAAATGTGAGTTTGCTGGCTGTGTCTACTGAAAGAACCTTGGAGAAGTATCAATCTTACAGCAATGAGCTGAGTTTCAATGTAACGTTCTCCAAGGTCCTTGCTTGGGTAGTAACAGAGCAAAGCCCTATCTGAAAAGAAAAAATGTGAAAGGGAACTATTTTATAATGACAATAATAAGAACAATGGGGAGCCAGACAGGCATGCAGATAGAAATAAATGGAGGAGATACAATACAAAAGGACACACAAAGGCCTGGCAGTGGTGGCACACACTTTTAATCCCAGCAATTAGGAGGCAGAGGCGGGCAGAGCTCTGTCAGTTTGAGGCCAGCCTGGTCTACAGAGCTAGTTTCTGAACAGCTAGGGCTGTTAAACAGAGAAACCCTGTCTCAAACAAACAAACAAACAAAAAACCCAAAACAAACAAACAACAACAAGAAACAAAAACAACCCCCCCCACAAACTCAGACTGAAAGGGTTACCTAATCAATCAAATCTGGGACCATGTGAACATCAACACTGTGGTTAGGGCTAAAGAGATGGTTCAGGGTTAAAACTACTTGATGTTTTTGTCAAGGTGCTGGCACCTACATCAAGTTGTTTACAACCGCCTACAACTTCAGTTCCAAGAGATCCAAGAATCTCTTCTGGCCTCTGTGGGGAAGGCACACATGTGTACACATAGACAAACAGGCACACGAAAAACAAAGATTAAAAAATAAAAAAACTGTGGTTAAGGGTAATGGTGGTGCATGTCCTTAATCCCAGTACTCGGGAGGCAACAGCATGTGGATCTCTGTGAGTTCAAGGCTAGCCTGGTCTACAGAGTGAGTTCTAGGATAGCTAGTTCTAAACAGAGAAATGCTGTCTTGAAAAACTAAAAGAAAAAACAAACAAAAAACTGTGATTAACTATAAGCCAATGTATAAATCAGGGAACTGTAAAGCCTTACTTAATGTAAACAGAAAGTTTGATGGGGGTGTGATTTACATAGTCATAAAGTACCTCCTTACCAAATAATCAATTACAAAGAAAAAAATAATTCTAGAGTTGAAAAAAAAATCTGACAACAGTCAAAGCTGACACAAGCAGAGAACATGACAATCTGCGGTTTTGCCACCAGATGGAATGCAATGAGAGCACAGCACCACTTCTGTGACATTGTTGCTCAATATCATATATATTTACATACACATATACATTTGTCAATGCAAAACATAACCAGGCCTGGTGGCACACACTTGGGATTCCAGCACTTGGGAGGCTGTGACAGGAAGATTGTGAGTTGCAGGCCAGCCTGGCTACACAGTAAGGTTTTCTGAGTCAAGAAAAATGAAATTAAAACCCCAAATCTATCTGTGATGTAACATCGGATGAGCCAGAATCATAGAGTACTCCTCAAAATAATTGACTTGTAATTTTCAGAGGGGTAAAGTGTTGCATTTGGTGTTCGGTTCAAGCAGGTCCGTGAAAAAAACAGGGTCTCTCTAGGATAACTTTTAGCCTTTGCAGCTACAGAGAAATTAACTTCTGGTGAACTGACTGACTGTACCTTTGCAAAAGTCTTTTTTATTGTTATACAATTTACATCTTTAGCAAGTTAATTATCCATACCAAAACCTCTTATATGAAGTACCCCAAAGAGACAGATGCCAAAGCAATTCCCAGTCACAGGACATCTGTTTTCTGAGTCCTCCCACAACCAAGTTTTGCATAGGCTTTGAATCTTTTAAGAAGCACTCAGATAAGATTTACATGCTTCAAACAGAAGGTAGTGGACACAAAAGGGAGCAGGCACAAAAGCCAGGTGCTAACACTCCGGAATCAAGTCAGCTGCAAAGTTCTTCAGGAACTCTCCAGAGTCAAGATCTCTAGTCAAGGTCTGTAGATCAAACTGGCCTTGAACTGAGGGATCCACCTGTCTTGGCCTTCCAAGTACTGGGACTAAATGTGTGCACCACCACACTTATCCAGGGTTTTTTATCTTTATTTGTTTTTATTTTTGTGTGCCTGTTCATCTGTGTACACTACATGTACATTCCCAGCAATAAAAATGATTTTAAGACAGGACTGAAGGATGGGGGATGGCCATTGCTTCCTGATTGATTCAGCTTTGCCAGCTGTGTCACTTGTTGACAGGTTATACTAAATAACACTAACCTCAAAAGCGGACAGGAGAATAAATACTAGACTCCTCCTTCATGACCATACTTGACAACTATACTAATGATGCATTCTGTTATGAACCCACATGCAATATACTAGAAATTCATTAATACAGAAGCACCTTTTTAAAACCTGGGTCTTACTAAGTAGTCCTGTCTGACTGGAACTTGCCATAAAGTGCAGACTCACTTCAAATTTGCATCAATCCCATCGACACCTCCCCAGTGCTGGGGCTTTTGCTCTACATGTTGCTACTTGACTGTGGGGCCCCTTCAACAAGAAAAAACTTAGTTTAGTATCATTGAAAATATTTAACTCGCTAGTGAAAAGAGATCCCAACATGGGAGTCCAAAAACCTAGATCCAAACTGACTCATCCCTGCCTGGTCGTGTGACTCCGGAAGATCACTAGATCCTCAACCTACAAAATGAGGATGACTTACAGAAGCACTTCAGTGTCTGCAGGTAAAACAAGCCAACATTTTAAATGCTCTGTTTAATAGTAAATGTTACATAAATGTGTAACTGTTCCTGATGCATAAAGAATAGAGATAGCGTGGCTGACTTCAGGTCAGGGAACTAATGAGCTAATGAAGAAAGACACTGGAGGAATTGTGCCAGCAGGGCAGAAGGCAGAACAGACGCTTCTTCAGTCTACAGACAGAACATCAGAGTGGAGCAGCATCCTGAGGCAGGGTTAGTCGGGATGCTCCCTGGAGGCTGAAGAAGAAGTGCACCTTGACAACAAGGGAACTGTACTGACTTACTGAGTATTGTGCAGCACGGTCTGGATGAAGGCAGGATTTGTCTCCATAGAAGCTGTCACCAGGGATGTCAGCAGAGACCAGTACCATATTGCAGAAGCATCAGAGACTGAGACTCCAGATTTCTTAACTCTCTGAAAGCCAACAGCCCTCAGACCATGAATCCTAGTGTCACATCCATCACTAAGACAACGCTTTATGTTTATCTGGACATCTGTTGAGCACAAACAACAAGTTGAGCACTAGATTAATGTCTTTAAAGGGTCAACAAATGGTAGGCTTTCAACTAAAAGCAAAATGGAAAATTGTAAAAATATATTTTGGTAACAGAAATAAATAATGTGTACAATAGAACTAGCTTAGAATTAACTTGTCACAAAAACAGTGAGAAATCTAAGAAATTGTAAGAAAAATGTGTAAAGTTAGGAGTGATTTATAAAAGTTCTTCAGAATTTTATGAATCTTGTAAATTATATTTTTATAAATTTATATATTTATATAAATTTATATATATAAATGAATCTTATAAAATATAATTTATAAATTCCCACTTAATGCATGGTTTGAACATTTCTAGAATCCTAGAGTTTGCAGTTTCAGTATCTGGCTCCTAGACAGTTGTGAGGGGGTCTTTTTAACAACCAAGTCCAAATAGTGGATGGAGACATGACTCACATTCAGATGTCACAAGGGAAGCCATTTAAAAGGACACAACTTAGAGAAAAGAGTGCCACGGCCTAGGGCAGAAAGCTTCTACTTTGTGTAGGGGTGAGATACAGAGACAGTAGCTCTGTAGGCCCAGTTCCTTTGAGCAAAGTAAAAGCACTTTTAGACCAGGAAAGCATTAAAAGAAATAAGACATGAAGCATTCTGGCTTCCTAAATGAAATAAAAACTGTTATTTCCAAAATGCTATGTATGAAAAAGTTTATAATATAAAAAAATTAAAAATATAAATGTCCAAAAACAAAGGATAGGTTAGAATTGAAACATTTTTACAACTCTTTAAAAAAAGGCATCATCACTATATGAGATGACAACATATTAAATATACAAAAGAGCCTGGCATGGTAGCACACACCTTTAATCCCAGCACTCGGGAGGCAGTGGCAGGTGGATCTCTGTGAGTTCCAGGCCAACCTGGACTATATAGAGAGTTCCAGAATAGCCAGAATTACAAGGTGAGATCCTATCTCAAAAAACAAAAAACAACAATAAAAATACAAAAGAATGTGAGCAGAATATTATAATCTTTGGGAAATGCTATGTATATACTACATGCAAATATATATAATTCCATTTTTATTAAAGAGTGCTTTTTATATATACATATAAACACAAACAAATTCATAAACACAAGAAGTGGTTTGAAAAGAACCACACCAAAGCAGCTGTGACTCAGCAACCTCTCTGTAGGAAGATTTTGAATATTTTTTGTTTGTCCATGTTTAAGTTTCCCAGTAAGAAAATAACAATACACTTTTAATTACAGAAAGGCTTTATTGCTTTTCTAAAGCTTTTGTAATTGGTAGATAAAATAATGATGATTTTCCTGTGGATGTAATAGAAGCAAATCAACTGGCAAGACTTCAGAAGCTGTCCTAAGGCTTAAAACAAAATCACCTCCATTCCTCCCATCATAACCCCTTCCACTGGACTCACAGAGCTGACTGATGTTGGCATTTTCTAGCAGTGTCACGTAGCCAGTGACATTGCTGGGGATGTGCACGTCTCGTACTTCCTGCAGATCACTGGCACTCCTTCCCACAGCCACTGTCACTTGCTGTGGCATGTAGCTCTGGTCAGTGGCAGCCACTGCAATGGAAAGATGCCTAAGCACGACATCTGGCTTCATCTTCAAACTGGAAAACAGACCACAGAAACCACCTGTGTTACGTGAGCCAAGCACTGGTGGGGTCACAGCCCCAACTCTTGACCTTGCATTTGGTACGTGTAAAGATGGATTTCTTTCTTTTCTTGAGGGGGGAGGTGTGCTTGTGAGACAGGGTTTCTCTATGTATCTCTGGCTAACCTGGAACTTGCTCTGTAGACCAGGAGAGCATCAAACTCAGAGATCCACCTGCCTCTGCCTTCTGAGTGCTGGGATTAAAGACATGTGCCACCACTGCCTGGCTAAGATGGATTTCTGAACGACTAACCTGAGCTGCTACCTATATATTTCAAAGGTTGTACGGCCTCCCTAAATCTCTACAAAATCATTCTGTTAAGCTAATTTTATACTTCCTTTGAAGCTATTAGTATAAGCATAAATGGACAATATGAACATTCTAATAAAATTCTTTACTAGTCAAGAAGCAATTCTAAACTGCATTCAAAAAGCTGAGTATAGGCCTCATTTATAGGTGAGCTAAGAGGAAACATGGTGAAGATTTCTATTTTACCTCCTAGAAGAGCCATCTCCCCAGGCCACATTCTAGATTTTTAAACAAATAAAACATGTACTACCCACCGTATCCAGTGTGAGCGGGCACTACCATCTGACTGCCAGTAGGATGATGTTTCTCCATTTGTCATCCTGTAGATGTCTGCAGGGTTGGAGGATGTTTCTATATAAGCATAGCACTTTGTTACCGACTTGAGTTTATCCGTTTCCGGGCTTCTGGCTAGGTCTCCTGGGCTTTCTGCAGGAAAACACCAAAGCTTAGCTATTTTACAAAGGGAAAATGAAAATGGTCATTTAAAATATCTAATAGAAACATGCTTAACACTTTGGCAGCAAAATCTAACATTCCTTAAAAGACTCCTTTCAAAAAACCCATTGGCCAATGACTGCCCCATCTTCTCATTATGCAGGTATGGAGGTCAGAGGATAAATTATTATTATTATTATTATTATTATTATTATTATTTAGTTTTTAATTTTATTGATTTTTATTGAGCTCTACATTTTTCTCTGCTCCCCTCCCTGCCTCACCCCTCCCCTTTAACCCTCTCCCAAGGTCCTCATGCTCCCAAATTACTCAGGAGAGCTTGTCTTTTTCTACTTCCCATGTAGATTATTAGATCTATGTATGTCTCTATTAGGGTCCTATTGTTGTCTAGGTTCTTTAGGACTGTGATTTGTAAGGTGGTTTTCTTTGCTTTATGTTCTAAAACCACTTATGAGTGAGTATATGCAATAATTATCTTTCTGGGTCTGGGTTACAGAGGGTAAATTATAAGAGATACTTTTCTTCTACCATTGTGGGTTCTGGGGATGAAACTCAAGTCATCAATCTTGAAAGCAATCACAGGTGCCTTCAGTTGCTGAGCTATCTTGCAGACCCAAACTAGGCTTCTGAAGTAACTAACATTTCTGAGTGTTTTCTAGTTCCACTCTCTCCCATTTCTTCCTGGCTAATAGTCTGGTTTTGTTTGTTTGTTTATTTTGGGGTTTTGTTGTTGTTTTGTTTTGATTTTGGTTTTTCAATACAGGGTTTCTCTGTGTAACAGCCCCAGCTGTCCTGGAATTCATCTGTAGACCAGGTTGACCTCAAGCTCTCAGAAATCTCCCTGCCTCTGCCACCCAAGTGCTGGGTTTAAAGGTGTGCAGCACCATCGCCTAGCAATAGTCCGGTTTTGAAAAATCAAGTCATTTACTGTTTACACATTTGTAGTACTATATATACACATACATGCACTACAAATATAAGTCTATGCACCTATAAAAAACTAAAATTTACTTGGCTGTTTACTGACATGGTACAAGGAGTGAATTAACTGACCAAGAATACTTACCAAAACAAAACAAAACAAAACAAAACAAAAAAAACAAAAATTCCAAAAACTCAGCCAAATGGGTCAATTACCATGATAGAAAACATATTTTGCTCCTGGCATGTCTATTTTGACTGCTTACATTTTTGCTGGGAGAAACTTTGAAGTTTTATACAGTATACCCTACTAATTTTTTTCTTTAATTTAATGAGTAGAGGTGGGGCTACATGGACATCACAGCACACACACGGAGGTCAGAAAACATCTCAAGAGTCAGTTCTCACTCTCCACCTTTCTGAGAGGCAGGCTCTCTAAGTTTTTTGTTGTGTTATTTTGTTTTGTTGTATTTTTGAGACAAGGTTTCTCTGTGTAGCTTTGGAGCCTGTACTGGAACTCACTCTGTAGACCAGGGTGGTCTCAAACTCAAAGAGATCTGCCTGCCTCTACTGCCTGGCTTGGCAGGGTCTCTCTGGTTTCTGCTGCTGCACTGGATACTCAGACTAGCTAGCCTACAAGCTTTCAGCAGATTCTCCTGCCTGTGTTTCTCACCTCAACACTGGAATGCTGGGATTATAGATGTGCACCACTGTATAAGGCTTTTATATAAACTCAAGTCATCAGACACACGGGCAAGGAGGCAGGGAGAACATTCTTAGGCTAGAAACTGGTTATATATTTTCAGAAATGCAGACACAAGGAAGAACTGGATTACCCTATTACTAAACACTACAAAAAATAATGGGAGAACATTTTCAGGAGACTCTCCCATGCACATACCTTTTTCTTTTTGTACCAGTTGATCCAGAGACTCCTTCAGAACTGACGACCGCATGGTGCACATGTTATTGCAGTGGTCTAACATTGGGTAGGGAATCACCATACTAGAGATCCGATTGCGATGCAGAAAGCGCAATATCATTGATGAGTGAGTGCCAAGGCCCTCCTTTGACTCTGAAAATATGTCGATGAAACCTAAAGACATAAAATCCATTTTTTTTTTGGTGTTTTGGTGAAGTCACCACAAGAGTTCCCACATCCCGTGCCTGCTGCTCCCTTTGAAATGGCTAAATTAAAGGCAGTCACTAACTCTACTCAAATTTTGAGCTTTAATTATTTAAAAATATAAATAGGTTTTAAAGAAATGAACAAGTAGCAACCTCAATTTAAGAACTTATTTTAGGGATTGGAGAGATAGCTTAGCAGTTAAAAAAATCTTTTCTTGAAAAATTATATAGCTTTTGTTTGGTTGGTTGGTTTTTCGAGACAGGGTTTTTCTGTAGCTTTGGAGCCTGTTCTGAAACTAGCTCTTCACAGTGATCTACCTGCCTCTGACTCCCAAGTGCTGAGATTAAAGGCATGTGCCACCACTACCCGACTGATACAGTTATTTTTATCTTGCATGTATGAGTTTTGTTTGCATGTACATATATGCACTGTGTGTATGTCTGGTGCCCACAGGGGCCAGAATACTGCGTTGATCCCTTGGAACTTAGTGTTTAAGCTAAGGTCCTAACAACAAAACATCTGCTGCCATTGCCAGTTTCTGAAAGAATCTTACGAGATATAAAGTACTTGACATATACTGCCTCACTTGGCCCTCACAATACACTGAAATGTAGCAGTGTTGTCCAGGGGTAGCGAAGGTCCATGTAGCCTTGCTTTATAACGGTGGAAATGAAGCTCAGGTGACTTACAAGAGAGCAAGAAGAAGGCAGGGTGGGGAACACTCCTCCACTCCCTCCTCCTGTTCTTCCCACCAGTCTAGGTCCTTCTCCCCAGTGTGTGATTTATTTGAAGTCTGCTCCTCCATCTTTTCTTCAGCCTCAACACCTCCTGCTTAGATGCCCACTTGGAAGCTGAGTGACTCCCCAAATATCACCTGCCTCTCATGGACCATTATCCCAAGTAATCTTATAAAGATGTGACACAGACCACACACCTGCCACTATTTAGAATCCTTTGCTGTCTCCTTATAACCTAAACTAATGAATCTCAAACAGGTTACTACAATCCAGAAGCACCAGGTTAAGTGAAGCAAGGAAAAACATGGCAACTTTTCTGGAAGCAGAGACATATTTGTGGATTTGGGGTGTTATTCCCCCCCCCCATTTTTTTTTTTTTTTGGTTTTTCGAAACAAAGTTTCTCTATGGCTTTGTAGCCTGTCCTGAAACTCATTCTGTAGACCAGGCTGGCCTCGAACTCACAGAGATCTGCCTGCCTCTGCCTCCTGAGTGCTGGGATTAAAGGAGTGTGCCACCACCACCCAGCTTTTCCCACTTTTTAAATGAGTCATAATGAATGACAAAAAAATTCATATAATGGTATTATTTGACAAATTTTCACATGTTCAAGAGACCTATGTAAAAAGCCTCAGATCAAGATACCAGCAGTCTCTGGGGACCTTGTATTCAACGGCAGGACAGATTCATTAGAAGCAAATAAAACTGCAGCAACTTTTTGTATAAAGCAATGGGCTAAGAAGAAATTCTGCGCTTAAAACAGCCTATTCTGGCTATATGGTCTACTCAAACCCGAGACAGCTGATTTCTAAAGACTCAAAATGTAGGCAACCCCTACCTACTCCCACATGAGGATGAGGCTTCATATCCATGATGCTGTCTGGATTTGCTCAGAACCCACACCAAACAGCAGACTGCTACACATGAGCACACACACACACGTACACACACACACAGTACACACATGCACACACACACACACGTACACACACACACAGTACACACATGCACACACCCACCCAGAGCAATTTTGTAATGGAAAATGTTTTCAGTTTTAGAAAGGTTCTACAAAGGAATGGTTTCAGTGAACGCTATACATTAACAGTGAGAAACAACAAGAATGAGTTTCAGTGTGTGAAGACATCTGAGAGGAGGACTAGGAAATTATTTGATGCTATCACAGAGATGACCTCAGCTTTCAAGGGCTTGAGACTGATGATTCTTTTATGTTGGATATTACTACATATTTTTGAGTTGAAAGATTAAGTCATGAATGTATATTATGTGAGCACTTCAGGATCTGGACTCTGATCTTTCTCCATCATCCCTTTCCTCCACTAGGCACCAAGTACAGCAGGCATTACTCACTGGTGGACTCCCTTCCATACCCTGCCTACAAAATCTCTCTGAGACTAACAGGATAGCTCAGGGGTATAATGCTTGCCTAGCATTTGTGAGGTCCTGATGTGATCCCCAGAACACTCATGCACATACACACAATCTGAGGAATCCAAATAATGTCATCCACATATTTGTAATGCAAAGGTGGGAGTGACCATGAATACTATGATATGTTAGCTAAATGAAATTCAAAGTTCACCTTACCTGCCATGACACTAGGAAAAACAGTACTACGTATAGGCTACCTACAATGCCCTGTAAGAATTACATAATGAAGGATAACAAAACATCCATTCTCCACTAAGATGCAGACATTATCCTTCCCTGGCTCAATACATCACTCGGCAGTAGGTCAGAGGTTTCAACAGCAATCAGATTTACAGTCTGCCAAGTCTATCCAGTCTTTACTCCTGCCTAAAGACACTAATTATTGTCACTTGGTGTACAGAACAGGCAAAGTCCTTAAGTCAAATGATGTTCAATGCTATTTCCCTTTCAAATTGAACTGTCATCTCACTTGAAAAAATGAAGGACAAATTTATTCTGATGCTGTCTTTACATAAGTCTGAGTGACCAAGGAAATCATCTGACCACAGAGACCAGATTGGGTATAAAGTGATGTACAGCACTTGCCTAACATGTACAAAGCCCTAGGTTCAATCCTCAGTATACACACAGTAGGAGGGGGGCAGGCAGACAGAGAGAGAGAGAGAGAGAGAGAGAGAGAGAACATGAGCACAAAGAAAACAAAACAAACAAGCAAAAAAATTTAGAGTCAATATTTTTCAAATGTACAACAGGTATTGCTTAATTTTTAGCAATACTTTCTTTACAAAACTTACTAAAGTTTCAGAGTAAAAGTTTTAGAAAACAATAAAATACTTAACATATGCTAAAAAAATAAACTGTGAGAACATAGCAAAAAATAAGAGAAGGTCCCTGTTCTGATAGAGCCCACAGCAATGGAAAGAAGACAGACAATAATTAAATCAGTTTATTTATTATGCTGATATTATATTGTAAAAAACAGAAAAAAAGAAAAAGGAAAAAAACATTAATGCAGAAGAAAAGGCAGGATGCTATGAGAACATGCAGCACGGACCAGGCACACTTCTTAAGGAAGTAACAAGCAGATCTACTAGAGGGCAGCCTCTTGACCAAGGGGCAGAAAAACAGAAAACTACCCAGTCAGCACTGTTGAGAAATAAAAGTGAAGGATTTCACTAATTTCGTTCAGCTCATGTGTCTAATGAATGTTTTGAGAGGAATTCATGGTGTCACAGCTGGGCCAATCTCAATACCTACAGTACAACCAAGTTCATTTTGGTTCTAAGTTTTGTGCAATGGCAGCGCCATAGCCAATGAGACTTAGTTAGCCTAGTTGCCATTAATGCTAACTGAAAACACTTTGGCTCTAAGAGAACATCTTGAGTCAGAATTCATGTGAACACCTACCTGGAACAAGAGAGCAGGCTTGTAGTTGTCTGATGACATGGCTCAGCTCCCCCTGCAGATTGGCTCCACTGGAGTTCTTGAGGGCCTCCAACATATTCTCAGCGTCAACTGTCCCATCACCCTCAGCATCAAACTGGGCAAAGGCCTACAAGATAAGGGACATACATATGTATACGTGTGTGTGTGTGTGTGTGTGTGTGTGTGTGTGTATTTCACTCAAAGAACAAACAAATTCAGGATAGCAGGCGCTTTGTGTTTTGTAAGATATATGTATATATGTTTTATAACTTCATTTCTCCTCTGAGGCAGTAATTCTTTGACATCTCCAAATAATCTCAGAAGAAAGCATTCATTGCAAAATTTTAATAGTAGTAAATTGTTGTGGTTTGAATAGAAAATGCTCCCTATAGGCATGTGTTTGAACATTTGGTCCCTGGCTGGTTTTGTTGTTTTGAAGGGTTGTGGAACCTTCAGGAAGTAGAGTCTGGCAGATGAATGTGGGTCATTGTGGGAGGTCCCTGGGCTTTTTTATTGCCTGGCCCCACTTTCTGTCCAGTTTTTGCTTCCTGACTGTAGACTTAATGTGACCTCATGTGTTTAATGACAGGCGTTCCCTGCCAGGATGGACTGTAGCCTTTCTCAGAATGAATCAAAACAAATCCTCCCCGCTTAAGTCCTTTCTTGACAGGAAATCTGGTCACAGCAAGAAGATCTGTAAAGTACAGGCAATGTCAAACACAAAGATAAATCTGAAAGAACTGGGTACTCAACACAACTGCTACCTTGGTCTACTGCTTCATTACTTTTAATCACTGTGGACCACACCCCTTAGCCATACAGGTTCAGCTTGGGACTTTGTTTGAATACTAGTCTGTCCCTATAGCTGTGTGTGTGTGTGTGTGGTGTGAACTTCTTGATCTGAAACATAAGCGAGTTCTCACATTCACGGGCTGCTGCCTAGACAAGGTACACAGGAACAGAGTCCCACTAGCAGAACAGTGTTTATTTTCTAATATATAACCTCTGATCCCGCCACAGAATTGTGTCCTTTCTCCCAGTCTCAGTCCCTGTGCCCTAGTTTTTCTGTCCTGTTGCTAATACATGCATTCACATACATCCTCAGCACTACAGTCTCCTGACCTTTCCAAGGGAGCCTCTCTCCCTCCTCTGCTCCATGAAACAGGGAAATAACCAGGCTCCGTGATGGACACAATGCTCCCATTTCCATCCCATCACAGATACAGTATTCAAAAGGAACAAATACAGATTCCCACATTGGTAACCAGAAACTCTGGGCATGAATGCAGGGTGAGAGAGAATTTAGAAATAAAGTGTCAAGGGGAAAATCATAGCACTATTTTTGCCTCTGTTCAGCCTGACAAGACTATCCAAAAAGTGAACAGGATCAAAGATTACACTAATTGAAGTACAACATACAAGAGGCAAGCTCTGTCCTGTACCCTGCAGAGAACAGATTTTTTTTTTCCTTTTTCTTTTTTTCTTTGCTTTTTCTTTTTGGCTTTTTAAGACAGAGTTTCTCTGTAACTTTGGAGCCTAACCTGGAACTCTCTCTGTAGACCAGGCTGGTCTCAAACTCACAGAGATATGCCTGCCTCTGCCTCCCAAGTGCTGGAATTAATGGCATGCGCCACCACCACCCAGCTGAGAACAGGTTTTTGTGGCATATGTGTGTTGGTAGAGGCAGTTCTAGAGCTTAAACTCACGGCCTTGCTCACACCAGGCAATCGCTTTACCACTGCACCACATCTGTAGACCAGGGATTTTTTACAGTGGAAAGGGTAAGCAGAGTGTCCTAGTCGGGGTTACTATTGCTGTGATGAAACACCACCATGATCAAAAGCAAGTTGACGACAAAAGGGTTTATTTGGCTTACACTTCCACATCATTGTCCACCACTAAAGGAAGCCAGAACAGGAACTCAAACAGGGCAGAAACCTAGAGGCAGAAGTTGATGCAGAGGCCGTAGAGGGGTGCTGCTTACTATTTTACTCTAAGCCATTACATGGTTTTCTTTGACCCCCACGCACACTGAGCTAGGCCTTCCACATCAATCACTAATTAAGAAAATGCCCAACAGCCTTTCCTACAGCCCAACCTTATGAAGGCATTTTCTCAAGTGAAGTTCCTTCCTTTCAAATGACTATAGTTTGTGTCAAACTGACAAAAAACTGGCCAGCAAAACTGACCTCTTGTCAACTTATACAAATCACTTTTAAGACACATCACTGTTAAGCCACAATCTTTCCTTACTTATTCATCCCCAAGATCATACATTAATATTGATAACATAATTAGAAAACATTTTACAAATTTAAAAAGTCCCACAGTCTTACAAATTCAAGCACTTTAAAAGTTTAGTCTCTTTTGAAAAAACGAAATGTCTCTTTTAAAACCAAAACTCTCAAAAGCAGAGGATGGGGCCTGACTAGTGAAGTTCCAGAAGGGCATTTGCAGGTCACTCAAAAGCCTCTATCAGGCCATTGCAGATTTTGAGTTAAGAATTTGTGGTTCTGATTAGCTGGGCCTGAAGGATTAGCTGCAATTAACAAGACACCATATGCACTAAAATGAAATCTTTGCTTTGCTAGGACAATAGATGTTGGTCAGCTGGAGCTGAGACATTAGCTATGATTAAGAGAGCAGTATCATTTAGGTGGTGAGAAGTGTTTCTTCAGAGTTAGTACACAGAAGCTGTGTCCCAGATGTAGCCAAGGTTGTGCCTTGCGCTGCCAGCTGAACTTGGTAGTTTAAAAGTTATCCTGGTGGGGCTGGAAAGATGGCTCAGAGGTTAAGAGCACTGGCTGCTCTTCCAGAGGTCCTAAGTTCAATTCCCAGCAACCACATGGTGGCTCACAACCACGTGTAATGAGATCTGGCGCTGTCTCCTGGAAAGTGTGTGTGTATGTATGTATGTATGTATGTATATATATATATATATATATATATATATATATATATATATAAAATTTAAAAATGTTCAAAAAAAATTATCCAGGTGATACTAGTTTTTTGAAGCCACGAAGAATGAAGAGATCACGAAAAGCAGTTGAGGCTTGGTTGGCACTGCATGGCAGGGCTGGAGTCCCTGAAGGGGCCCAGGAGAGGCTACTGATGAAAGTGCAGTCCAACTGCAGTAAAAGATCCCAGTCACTAAATTACCATGGGACGACCACCAAGGACTACAGCGCGTGTGGAGCTAAGCTGGCCTGAGCCTGCGGTACAATCTGTGCGCTGCAGAGGGTAGAGCCAGAGAAGTGGCCCAAGCCCTACACTGCAGAATTCTTTTTTTTTTTTTTCCAGAATTCTTTTTTTTTTTAATGTTTATTTATTTATTTATTATGGATACAATATTCTGTGTGTATGTCTGCAGGCCAGAAGAGGGCACCAGACCTCATTACAGATGGTTGTGAGCCACCATGCGGTTGCGGGAATTGAACTCAGGACCTTTGGAAGAGCAGGCTCTTAACCACTGAGCCATCTCTCCAGCCCCCACACTGCAGAATTCTTGAAAAAAACTAGAAATAGGTCCTGCTAGAGTGAAGGTGTCTGGTGAAAAGTCCATTTAGAAAGCAATCAGAAATTATAGGGTTGACATTCATCTTAAAGAATTGCTGGAGTTTTTTGTTGGTTTGTTTCTAAGTGGAAAGAATGATAGCAGTATTATGAGTTTTGGGTTGTTTTTGTTTTGAATTCTTATCTTTTAGAAATCTACAATGAGGGGCTGGGAGAGGTAGCTCAGCAGTTAATAGCACTGGTTGTTCTAGCAAAGGACCTGGTTCTATTCCCAGCACACACATGGTGGCTTACAGCCATCTATAACTCTGGGTCCTGGGAATTTGATGCCCTCTTCTGGCCTCCTCAGGCACTGCATGTTCATATATGTAAAACAACCATAGTAATAAAATAAGATAAATCTTTTAAAAAAATGTACAATAACAGATAAAATATGTCAATATTTGCTTTTAAATAATTTGGACAACAGAAAGTTGGTGGTGTTTAGATCAAATAAAATTTGCCTTGAGTTGGTAGTTGTTGAAACTGGCTAAGGTATGTGGGGACCAGTTCACTACTATCTCCATCTTCCTAGTTTAAAAGTTTCCATTTATTACAAACAAACAAAAAAAATACAGATTCTCTTCCTACATCTTGGCAGAGACCTAGGACTTGATCTCTAGAGAGTTGTAGAGATAGACTGGAACATGGCAGGTACAGCTAACAGTGAGAACGCCACACTGAAAATGGGAGGTTGGTGTTTACTTGCTAAATAAATGGTTAAGGACAACCTTCTCCAGGGCTCCCAGAATGGTAGCATCCAGTTTCACATCCTTCCAGGAGACAGAAGAGTCTTCCCTGGGGACACTGGCAAGGCTAGGAAATAGGTTACCCAGAATCACCCAGTGAAAGCGCCCAGTTAATTCATCTTACAGCCTGACTCACAGGCTATAGTCAGATACACTGAGCATTCAGGCTTTTAACCACTCCACCCCACCCCTATCCCTTAACAGAGTTTTACTCAGGCAGGCCTTTTACTTATGATTAAAGGCCTGGCCACCAGATACAGCTCTACTCTCATTCTCTTATTGTTTGGGTTTTTAAATTATTATTATTATTTTGAGATAGTGTCTCACAGTATGGCTAGCCTGGAAACTTACTGTGTAGTTTAAGTTAGTCTCAAACACAAGCTGAGTTTCTTACCTCTGTATCCTGAATACTGGATCTAGTCCCTTGTTCTCTAGTGAGTGGATAGCCCAGAATTACTACACACTTGAGAAAAACCTACTTTGAAACACAGAAGAGAAAACAAAGATAATGCAGGGAGAAAAAACTTAGAAGAGGGATTAATATTTTCATAGAAATGCTTAAAGATATTTTAACCCTGGCTTTACTGAGGTGCATATCTCATTTCCCATAAAGTTCACCCCATTAAAATGAAGAGTTCAGTGGGTGTCAGTATAATCAGAGTTGTGCAATACCACTCAGTATCTGAAAAAAAGAAAATATTGTAATCACAAAAGAACAGGATACTGGGCTGGAGAGACTGTTGAGCAGTTAGGAGCACCTGGATGTTCTTCCAAAACACCAGGGTTCAATTCCCAGCACCCACATGGCAGTTCAGAACTGTCT